AGAAGTTTTTAAGAAGAGACTGGACAGCCATTTGTCCGAAATGGTGTAGGGATTCCTGCCTGAGCAGGGGGTTGGACTCGATGACCTCCAAGGTCCCTTCCATCTTCTTCTTCTTCTTCTTCTTCTTCTTCTTCTTCTTCTTCTTCTTCTTCTTCTTCTTCTTCTTCTTCTTCTTCTTCTTCTTCTTCTTCTTCTTCTTCTTCTTCTTCTTCTTATTATTATTATTATTATTATTATTATTATTATTATTATTATTATTATTATTATTATTATTATTTTAAATTTCTCCACAGGATGTCCTCAGTAGACTGTAAAATCTCTTCCCAGACACCAAAAATGACGTTGACCAAATCAGAAAAAAATAATATTCTTCACATATAAACTAAATCCAGTAATAAAATTCAATAATAAAATTTTTTTCAAGGCCCCAAAGTAAATAGAAATAAAAAATAGTCAATTGAAGTTAATTTTCATTCCATTTTCAAAGCTTCTCTTCCCACACTAACAAACGCCGCTCTCTTAAAGCAGGGAAATAATTCCAAAAATGCTTTTTACAGGAAACAAAAAAGAGAAAAGGGCTAAGAGAGGAGAAAAAAAAGTCTCACCCAGATCAACCACGGTGGTTCTTTGCGCTTAGATGTTCTTCTGACTTCTGGTTACAGCAGCAAAGTGATCGGCCATTTTACTGGTCGATCTTTTCTCCCTCGGCCCTAAGGAGCAATCTCGGACTGCAGAAGGAGCTGCCGCCCTTCCACAGTCGACGAGACCTCAACAGTAGTCGCCCCTCCAGGGCGACTTTTCGACCCGATTAAGGGTCTACTGGCAGAGGGAAAACAACCGGCGAAGAGAGAAGTCTCTCCGTGCGGCTGCACACGCCGCAATCCGGAACCAGAAGTGCAAATACAACTGATTGAGGACTACGGCAATTTTGATAACCGACTATTAACCACAAAACTGGATATAATTGAGTGTGTTACTCAGCAGATTCAAATATCGAGACTTGAATTTTTAAAATAAGGGATTATTTACAAAGGAATCAGATCCCTAAAACAGAGTAGGGGACGCTCTTTCTTGACTCAAATGATACCACAAGGAATAAAGAGAGACTTATTTGTTGATATAGAGGCTTTGTTATGGAAACTTGCTTGGCACAAAAAGAAAGCTAGAATAAGATTTAAGAGTGTGACCTAAAACTGTACACAATGGGTTTAAAAGGCTTTTTAGACACGGATTGATTCAAGGTTTAAGATTGCTAAATAAGACGTTAGAGATCCTGATTGAATAAAGATTAATTAAATATGTGAACTTAGTGAGAATATGTTTTTCTTTGTATTAATATGTTTGTTGTGGATATAACAATTATTTGGATCGAATTTAAATTTTATTGAGTGGGTTAAAAGAGTTTTACATAGATATTGATTGATAGATTATAGATTTAAAATAGAGTAGAAATGTATTTTTTGGAGTAATATTCTTGTTTTGAGGAAGGATAGTTATTTTGTAATGGAAGGAGAATAAGAGGGATTTTTGATAAAAGAAGTAATGATATTAATAAATGAGTCACTGATTATGTTAAGGAAAAAGGGAAAGGAGAGACACCTGAAGTGTTAACAATATGTTTATCTAAACTAAATTAGAATATGGTAATTGTAAATAGTAAAGCTCAATACAGGATCTGGATTTATATAGATGAAATGTTATTGATGATTCTTTTGATTGATTGAACTTTATTGAAAAATACATTAATTTGAATATATTATATTATTTGAGGGAATAGAGAGTTTTTAATGATTTAATCTGAATTACATATGTATGATTTTGCTTTTGGATAATTGATTACCCTGTCACCACGTTGTTTCTCAAGCACCTGGTTGTAAAAAGAAAAAATCAATAAAACTTGTTAAAAAAAACAGATCTGCTAACAACTAGAAGCAAACAAAGTTATAAACAGTAGCCAGCAAGGGTTTGTTAAAAAGAGATCATGCCAAACCAATCTTATTTCATTCTTTGCTAAAGTGACTAAATTTGTAGACCAGCGAAACGCTGTGGACGTAGTATACTTAGATTTCAACAAGGCATTTGACAAAGTAGACCACACCCTGCTGCTTAGTAAGTTAGAAAAAGATGGAATAGACAACATCACCGCCAGATGGATCTGTAGCTGGCTGACAAACCATACTCAATGGTACTATATCCATATGGAGAGAAGTAAGCAGTGGGGTATCACAAGGCTCCGTCTTAGGCCCAGTATTGTAATATCTTCATAAATGACGTAGATGAGGGAATTGAAGGGGAACTCATCAGATTTGCAGATGACACTAAACTGGCAGGAATAGTCAATACCCCAGAAGACAAGCTCAGGATCCAAAAAGATCGAGAGAAACTTGAACAATGGGCCCTATCCAACAAAATGAATTTTAAGGTGGAGAAAAGCAAAGTTTTACATTTAGGCAGGAAAAATCAAATATATTAGTACAGATTAGGCGGGACCTGGCTCAAAAACAGTAACTGTGAGAGAGACTTTGGAGACCTAGTGGACGATCACTTGACTATGAGCCAGCAGTGTGCAACCGCCGCCAAAAAAGCTAATACAATCCTGGGTTGTATAAACAGAGGCATAAAATCAAGATCACACAAAGTATTAATACCGCTTTATAAAACCCTAGTAAGACCACACCTGGAATACTGCAACCAATTTTGGTCACCATACTACAAAAAAGATGTTGAGACTTTGGAAAAAGTTCAGAGAAGAGCAACTAAAATGATCAAAGGCTTGAAGATTAAAACATATGAAGAATGGCTACAGGATTTGGGTTTGGCTAGTCTAAAGAAAAGAAGAAATAGGGGTGACATGATAGCAGTATTCCAGTATTTGAGGGGCTGCCACAAAGAAGAGGGGGTCAAACTATTCTCCAAAGCACTAGAGGGCAGGATAAGAAACAGTGGTTGGAAACTGATCAAAGAGAGAAGCAACCTGGAATTAAGGAGAAACTTCCTAACAATGAGGACAATTAGCCAGTGGAACAGCTTGCTTTCAGAAATTGTGGGTGCTCCATCATTGGAGGTTTTTATGAAGAGACTAGATAGTCACTTGTCTGAAATGGTATAGGTACTCCTGCTTAAGCGGGGCTGGACTAGAAGACCTCCAAGGTCCCTTCCAGCTCTATTCTATTCTCTTTCTCCTCACACTTCGCTTGCAAAAGCCCCTCTCAATTTCTCTCTCACACCCTTTGCTCGCAAAAGCCCCTCACGCTCTCTCGCGCTCTCATTGTTCTCTTGCAAAAGATTCTTGCGTTCTCTCTCTAGCCCTTCACTCACAAAAGCTCTTGTGCTTTCTGTCTCTTACCATTCGCTCTCAAAAGCCCCTTGTGCTCTCACCCTTCGCTTGCAAAAGCCCCTCGTGCTCTCTCTCTCACCTTTCGCTTGCAAAAGCTCCTCGTGCTCTCTTTCACACTCTTCACTCGCAAAAGCCCCTCATGCTCTTTCTCTCACCTTTCGCTTGCAAAAGTCCCTCGTGCTCTCTCTCACACTCTTCACTCACAAAAGCCCCTCACATGCTCTCTCTCTTTTACCCTTCACTCGCAAAAGCCCCTCACACACACACTCACCCTTTACTTGCAAAAGCCTCTCGATCTCTCTATCTGTAACCCTTCTCTTACAATAGGCCCTCACACTCTCTCATCCTTTGCTTGCAAAAGCCCCTCTTGTGCTCCATCTCTCACCCTTTGGTCGCAAAAGCCCCTCACACGCTCACTCAGCCTTCGCTTGCAAAAGCCCCTTGTGCTCTCTCTCTCTCTCTAACCCTTCTCTCGCAAAAGTTGCTTGCGCTCTCTCAACATTCACTCACAAAAACCCTTGTGCTCTCTCACCCTTCACTTGCAAAAGCCCCCCTCTGTCTCTCACCCTTCGCTGCGTACCACCTGGCAGGAGCCAATGTACCACTGAGTACCACCGGTTGAAAAGGCCTGATATAGGCTCTCCTGCTTGAGCAGGGGGATGGACTAGAAGACCTCTGTCCCTTCCAGCTCTATTCTGTTCTGATTTTGATAGTTTACGTACAAAGAATAGCAAGCAACCCAGAGATAGTATAAAGCAGACATGTCAAACTCGCGATGTCACATGATGTCGCGTGACATATCGGGACTGTTTTGCCATTGCTGGCAGTGGGGTGGGCGCGGCTTCTGCATGACGTGTCTGGCCTGTGGGCCGGCAATTTGACATCCCTGGTATAAAGGCATGTTATTTCTCTGTAATTTATCTTTGGGTTGTAATCTGTAAAAAATCTTACTCAGTTACTCCTATGGCTTTTGATTCTTCTTCATTTATTTCTTCACAAATGATCTGAAAAGATAAAAGGTAAATTCAACGCTTATGTTGATGCTCTTGTATTTTCAAATAAGCATAACATTTCAGAACACATTCAAGAGTAGTATAATATTGAAGAAATGTTTGTTCATTTGGTTAGTGTTCATTTGAAGTATATCAGTTGGTAAGTATATTAGTAAATGAGATACCTAACATGGGTCCTTTTGAATTACTGTAAATCTCTTCACACTTTAGTTCCACTAGCTCATCTTTAGTTCCAATAACTCTTTCAGTAGAAGATCACCACTTGACATTTTCTGTTTATATAGATTTGGCATTCCTGACCACCTATGTAAGACATGGGCTGTCTGCAGTAAAACTATATTGTTAATTAACAGCATAGGGGAATAACTTGCCAGTTTTACCTAATTTGCAGAATCCAGTCATGTCCCAAACTGTAAACAGATGAAGTAGAACAGAATCCAGAAATACCTAAGTATTCCAGCCATGCCTGGAAGATAGAAAATCTCTTCTATAAGACTTTATTCAAAAACTAAGGAGTTTTTAAATGTTGGATTTTGGATGTTACCTTGTTAATATAAAGAGCTGTTATAAAGATTTGTATCTCAATTTTACTCCTTGTTAATAATGACCAAAAATTAGTTAATGGATACATTTTATTTTTTTTTATATAGCTTCTGGGTCGTGCTGATAGACCAGAACAATCATGTTTCGGAACAGTCTCAAGATGCTTCTTACAGGTGGTAAATCAAACCGTAAGAACAGATCCAGTGGTAAGTAGAAGGAGTGTCTTGATGCAGTGCAATCATCTTAATCCAAGGAATGAAACTACTTCTAAGATAGACCCAGGTAGACTTCATAGTAGCATTGCTCCTTTTGAAATAATGCTTACTTTGCTATTCATTTTCTTTCTTTCTTTCTTTCATTCATTCATTCATTCATTCATTCATTCATTCGTTCGCTGCCTCAATCACTGCCTCAACTGCTGAAATAAACTGTAGGTGGCTTATATATTTGGCTTAAAGTGATTATAAAGATATTAGGATCATCAAAACAGATAATTAAATGTAACTGTATGTTGGGAATTATAACTAACTTAAAAGAATTAAAATGATATCACAATAGACTACTAGGGAATGTCATTACACATTTGGTGGAAGAGTTTTATGAAAGCTCAACAGGTAAGGGTCATTCTTCTATAAAACAGACTGCTACAGAGAAGAGATACCTCCTAGGTCTTGCAAGGTGACAATGCTTTATAGCTGGGATCTAATATATATCAACTTTACTAGATTTTTACAGCTTGGGTAGAAATTATAGAAGAAAGACAAGACAATCAGATCCTAAGTTAAAAAGGACATTATAGGCAATAATCAGTACTTTGAATTGCAATCAGAATTCTTTTAGTAACTGTCCAGGTCATAGAGCAGAGATGTTACATGGGCAAAACGAGAAATAGCATAATTGCTTGTAATGCTACATTCTGGAATGATTGTAACTTCTGGGTGTTGTTTGAGGGTAGCCAAGTGGAAGGTGACTAAAGCATGTGTAGTTGTAGAAGTTCCTCTCAATCCTGGAAAATGAATTTGTGCAAAAGCTCTCATAGTCCTGGCTGCTACTTGCCCATTGAGTAGGAGTCAAGACTCCAGAAAAACTTTTAAATAACATATATGTTTTACCTAGGGAACTGCTACCAAATCAACAGCTTAAGATGGTAAATCCTTGGCTTGAAATCTAGAGCACTCAGTCTTGCTAGGGTTGAGGCTCACAGTCTGTTCCTCCCCAAGAGGAATGATATGATATACAGTTGATAATGTTAACATCTCCAAGAACTTTATTCATTTCCTCAAGGCTCATAAATTTTTCTAATAGGGCAAGACCCCTCTACATTCAACACAAAGGGAACTGCCCAGCCAGAGTCCAACTTCAAATGAATCTGAATATCTTTATCTGTCAGATTCTTATACTATTCCTCAATGTGCCCATTAAGTTTCCCTCCTCTCTATTAATACCGTAAGTTTTTTCAGAAAGGTCTTTGGGATTGTGATCTGCAAATGCAATAAGAGCAGGTAAACAATTTTATCTCACTATTCTTATCACTATTGTGAAGGCTTTAATATGGAATTGTACAAGCATTCATTCAGTCTCTTTCATTGTCTTTCCCAGCAGCACTGTAGGCATGTCTCTATTATAATCATTTCCTAGAGCTGTTCATAAAACCAAGAATTCCCCCAGGATCAGTGTTAACAAATCCAGCTCACTTAGACTTGAAGGACTCTGATACTGAGGAGTCTACTCTGAATGTACCAGGCATCAGTAAGCAATTTAGCACCTGAGGCTGACCCTGCCAACTATCATCAGAAGTATATCTAGGGAATTGATGTGGACCAGGATCTTGAGTGATTCATTCTCCATGCCAAGCAGGTCAAAGTTCCTCTATTTATCTCCTTGCCTGGCATCTCAGCCTTTATCGGCTGCCACTTGACAGAGACTTTACATAAGACAAACTCCTTTGGTATAATCATTCTATCTCAAGCTTTGTACCCTTTGCCTCCCAAAATTCTATCACTCTGAAACTGGATTGACTGATGACTTAGATATAAAATTTAATTATGTGAACTATGAATTTGTAATACCTTTGCCCACTGCTTTGGATCTCCCAGTTTGGAACTTGTTTGTAAGCAGGCTCATGTGTTATTGGGACTTTGCTGAGGTGCTTGCAAACACACTCTGCCTTCTACTGCCTATACTTGCTTTATCCAGAAGTAAAACCTTTGCAAACTAACATCTGTGTTTGCCTGTTGTTGGCCTGAAACAGGATAAGCATATACAGAAAGGCCACCTCTTGCAATCCTATTGATCGCTGCTAATACTCACTCCAAAGATTGATCAGGGTTTCAGATAAACTGCCCATCAAAGAATCAGAAAACTCCTGATTATCATTTGAAAACCATCAAGCACCCAGGCAGGATGGAGTGATTTAATAGCTCCCATCTCCTTGCAGGGGACAACAGCACCAGAAAACTCCAAAGCTATCAGCAAGTTGTCTGATCATAAAAAGGAATAGATAATAATGGTCTTAGCTCTTAGATCACTTTGCATTCACCTGAAATAAAAACCAGATCAGTCTTCCGACCCTTGATGTACTTTGAGTGCTCAATAATCTGGGACATGGCCACATGTAGCCATTTTAATATAGCCTCAGAAGCCATCTAGGGTGAATAATAAATAGGAAGAAAGAAGCTAAAATAAATGTAAGACATTAGACATGTTTTCATGTGATAATTTTATAATTTTCTCTCTTGGTTGCAGATCCATTAATATAACATGAAGAAATCAGATTTAAATAGATCTTCTTTCTTATGTACACCAATTTGGAAGTAGAATATCTTGCATTGAATATAATTTACTTTTTAGTAAACTTGCTAAGGTCAGCAGACTTTTTATTATGCCCTTGAGAAGAGGGTAGCTGCTGTCAAAAATAAAGTTAAATTAAATTAAATGCTCCAAAATCATAGCAATATGAAACGCTGAAAGTTTACAATATTTTGTCAGTGTCACCTGAAATGTCTCAATTTAACCATACATAGGCCTAATATTTATGCTTCGTGTATCCCCAATTTCCCTCTTTTCATAACATAATATTACAGAATAATTATCATACATAGAATAAAGATATTAATTAAAAAATACAGTCTTACTCTATTTCACATATTTATTCTACTAAGCAAAAGATTTTCTTCTCAGTTATAGGTCTGAGTCTTAAACCTTAGATCAGTCCGTGTCTAAACAGCCTTTGTAATCCATTACATACAATTTTAAAACTCATTTTTAAGTCTTATTCTGGCTTTCTTTTTGTGCCAAGCAGGTTTCCATAACAAGGCTTCTATATCAAGAAATGAGTCTCTCTTTATTCCTCGTAGTATCATTTGGATAAAAAAAAACCCATCCCATTTTCTGTTTAGGAAAGCTGACTCCTTTGTAATTAATCCCTTGTTGCTTTAGAGATTCAGGTCTCAATGTTTGATTCTGCTGAGTAAGACACTCAGTTATGTCCAATTTTGTAGTTAGTAGTTGATTTTGTACATCAATTCCTGTCGCTTTTGAAGTTGTATATAGTTTAGTTAAAGTTACTTTTTGTTCATCAAAAATCTCAATAGGTTGTATGTAAAATGACTTAAAATCCTCTTTGGTGTTACTTAATTCCTCTTCTGTTGTTTTTTGGTCTGTAAGATGATCAGGTGAAATCTGGGGTTCAGTTTGTAAATTTAAAATAGGGTTTTTGTTTTTTATTTCTGTAGTAATCTCTTTTATTTTAGCGCATACTTGCTCAGTGGCTTCATATTTTTTTTCCAGTATACGTTTACAGTTAAGTTGTAAATAGGGTTTCTCCATTTCCATAATGGCTAGGAGCAATCCTTTTATCTTTTAGTGAGGGCTATATTTGATAGCAGTTAGCCAATGTCCACCCCCACAATTGCAGCTGTTTCAACTTCTTTATTGTTTCCTTTTTGTGATGATTTGAAGGTCAAAACCAACCTCAGCATCAAACAAGAGAAGGCAGTTGTAGTTTTAAATTTCACCACAAGGTGTCGTCAGTAGATTATACAATCTTTTCCCAGACACCCAAAACAACATTAAAAAAATTAAAAAAAATAATATTCTCCATATATGAACTAGGTCAAATAATGAAGTTCAATAATAAGAATTTTTTCGGGACCCCAAAGTAAATAGAAGCAAAAATAGTCAATAAAATTTAGCTATTCTTTCATTTTGTTCAAAGCTTCTCTTCCCACATTAACGAACGCCGCTCTCTCGAGGCAGGGAAATAATTCCAAAAAGGCTTTTTACAGGAAAAAAAAAGGAAAAAATAGGATAAAGAGAGGAAGGGAAAGATCTCACCTGGATCATCCACGGTGGTTCTTTACGCTAAGATGTTCTTGTGACTTTCGACTGGTGCGGCTGTGTGATTGGCCATCTTACTGGGCGATCTTTGCTTCGTCAGCCCTAAGGAGTAACTCGAGCTGCGGAAGGAGCTGCCGCCCTCCCGCAGTCGACGAGAAACCTCAAAGAGGTGAGAAATTAGACCATACTTAAATATTTCCTTTTAATTAATTTTAATCCTGTAATTGTTATTTGTGTATTTTTTAATCGATTGTTAGCCGCCCTGAGTCCGCAAGGAGAAGGGCGGGATATAAATTTAATTTAATAATAATAATAATAATAAAAAGTAACGTTACACCTTTTTCATAATTCTGTGCAGAAATAAAAATAAAAATGAATGTCCAGTGATAAAAGTGAAAATTAGGACAATTAAAACCCCCAGTATTTTAACCTAGTGGTAATTTAGACGAAAATCTGGAAATCCTTAATAATTTCTAATATTCTTGAAAGATCTTTAAAATGCGAACCTGGAACTCTGCTAAATACATCCTAGTAATACAATTCTTGCAAACAAGCTCAACCATCTATTTATGTCACTTTTAATCGGAGAAAGATAATTTACATCTACAAATAGAGAAATTATAGTTGGATAATTTTTCTAGCATATTTAAAATAATTCAAATGCTAAGCAAATTCCCAATTTTTACAAATTTTCATAAATAAATTAGAAGAATGTAAATAGATATATTAGCGTACAGAAATTTTATTTCTTCTTTATTCAAATACTCAGTTTCGGCCACTTGGACTGTATTTGTTTACTCCCCCATTGCTTTGTGATTGTGTAGGTTTGCATCTCACTTAAAACTTGAGGGGAGGAGTGTGTCTTTGT